AAGTCCGTCCTTTTGAAACAGAACAAATCAGTGAATTCCACAAGGTTTTGACCACATTGCCGAAGGAACAAGGATAATCCATCCCTGGCTACATCGTCAAGTTCACCGGCAATGCAAAGGGCCTTTAATCCGGGAAGATTCCAGTTGATGCTCACCCATGGTGTAGTCGGCTCTGTGTGCCAGTGGAAAAGCAAACCTAAATACTGAAGTGACTGTAACTGGGACATTATAGGAGGAAAATGGTGACAGAATGAAGTCCAACTCAACCATGATAGGTCAAGGCTGGTTAAGTGCGATCTGCAGGAAGAAAGTTGGTTTAAATCATGAACATCCTTCACGTGGTAGAATTTGATTTGAAGTAATCGTAAATTGGGCATCATAGAGATGAATTTTTCTCTGTCAATAGTTCGTTCGTCGAGTTCAAGGGATAGAATTCGGACTCCACGCAAGGCTTCCTTGAGACCTTCATTCTCTAGATTTTCCCACCACCCGGCCTCAGTATGGAAAACCCGACCACGATGCCGCAGGTCAGCGAAACAAGGCTCCTCCAGAAATATTCCACACCAGCAATCCGAACGTTGAGTGGTTACGCGGAGCCTTTCTGCTCCTTTCAATGCCTCGATAGTCTTCCCTGGAGAATTGCAATGATGAAAATCTGTGAAGATACAGATGCGATGATTCGAGAGTATTGAGGCCCACAAATGACAGACCAGCCGGAACGCTGTTATAGTCTGTCGCACTTTTTGATCCTGACGATAGGCCTCGCATACATCGGTGCGGTAGACTAGATAGTTATAAACGATTCCATAAGCGGGATAATTGTAAGAGTCGTCGATATAGGGCAAATTCGAAACGATCACTGCCCGATGCAGGATTACTGTCCAAATCTCGACAGGTATGCGTTGCATTAAACTCTTTTCCACCTATAGAACCGACGGCCTCGAGTGTTATTGTCTGGTATCGGCTAGAGGAGTTGGACGAGATTGAGAGCAGGGTAGAATTATTTGGGCGTAAGCGTCCAGGTTTCAATGTGTACCGTAAAAGCTCAATCCCGTCGGGATCTCACCCGAATGTACGGTTACTACAACCCTACTCGCTTTCTCTATTCTATCCCTAAACTAAAAGCCTATGTGCGCGTGGTTCGGGCGACCAGTGCGATTTGGTTCTGACCACTACCTCCACCATGTACAATCGAAAACTAGCTCTGTTAAAAGTGTTGGCTTTCTCTGTTCTGGTAAAAGCAAAAGATGATG